GCCCTTCATGCGTTTCATGTCTGTGTCTTACGTTGTCAAGTTCAGGTTGTCATGTCTGCGTCTTATGTTTCCTGTTTTATTTTGAAAGTCCAGTTTTCATGTCATTGTGTTTGAGTTTAAATTTCCTGTGCATCGTTATGTTCATCCTTGTCAGCTGTTTCCTCATGTGTCTCGACTTCCCCTGATCACCTCATGTGTGTAGTTAAGTGTTTTCTATGTTTCATTGTCAGGTCGTCTGTTTGCGTCCCCATAGAGTTTTGTCATAGTTTACTCAGTGTTCATAGTTTGTCATAGTATTTTCACTGAGTTTCTTAGTCCTTTCATTTTCTGAGTCTTCACAGTTTTCTTAGTTTTCATAGCTTCATGCTTTTTCATGTGCCAACATCCAAATAAAGGATCGTCTTCCGTTCAGCCAGCAACTCCGCCTTTTAGTGGCTGCTTCTGGGTGCTGTAAACTAAACTTATCGGCGCACCCCGCCGTGACACACAGAATCTTTCTGATTAAGTTGGATCTTATAAATATCATCTAAACATTGTCTACAATAGTGAGATAGACGCAATTAATATGAGAAAACAGATGTCCTTGAGAAGAGGCGTCTTTGTTGCATCTTTGCGACTACACTAATGTTGGGACTTACTACTGCCTTTTGGCCACATATGTGAAGAAATTATTTGGACAGATTTGCAAGCTACAAATCCATGATGTGAATTTCCAAGTGTTCTATTCAATTGCAATTTGATGAGATCATTTGAATACAGTGTATTCATTGCTCAAAAAACAGTTTACGATGATCTGAGATTCACGACAGGAGAAAATCGGTACATAGTGGTCAAAACAGCATCTACATTGTCAGCAACTCAGGTAGACTATGGGCTTTAAGTGATGCTTAGTTAGTCCTAAGGCCTTATAGTACCACCAACAGTCAGACGTTGCTGCCATGTAATGAGGGCAAAGAGGAACAAAGGGGAAGGCGTATATACTGCATGTCATGTGAATTTGTATTTTATGTTCTAAAACATTTTGGAGTTAAAATCACACTGTGGGTTATTCTAGATATGTATGTCTAGAGATGTTTATTGCATAAACACATGTTGATCACATTTTGTGTTTATCTAAACTTATTTTATGCATGTTTTTACCATGAACAAAAGCTTACACAGACAGAAAAAAAGTAAAGCAAATCAAATACACCTGTTTCAATTTATTTGTTGATTTTCTTCACTGACCCAAATGCAGGAATCAGGAGGCAGAAATAACTGAAAACCCTTGTTAGAGTCCAACCGACAAGAAACAAAAACAATAACTGGGTAGGGCAGAAGCTAAACAAAACGAAAACTTGGACTCAAGAAAAACACAGAGACGAACACATATGAGGAATGAGGGACAAAGACAATTTTTACATAAGAGAACGTTTTTGAAATGACTAATCAATGACGAGGACAAAGGAAGCAAAACTGAACCTAATGCACAAGTTTCAAGAGACTGCCAAAATAAAACAGAAAGTAACTAACAATAAGATCAGTCTAAGACATGAACTTGACAGAACTAAACAAGGACCACAGAGACAGGACAATGGAGACCAGATAGGCACAAGGAGACAGAAAGACAAAGTAAATTACAAACAGACTAGAAACAGTGGCTATACTACATGGCAAATGAAAGCAACCTACTAGTATTACCAAAAAAGCTAGGCCTAAACAAAAATCACAAAAAGCAAAACCCCTCCAAAAACTCAAACACTGGGTCAGACGGAAATGACCAGGAATACAGGGGGGTCATTAGTGAGATCAACGCTCTCCAAATCAACGCCAGAAGACGAAGGAGTTGGTAATGGACTTCAGGAGGAAGTCTATTACCATCACACCACTGGTGAACATCCAAGGAAAAGACATTGCGACAGTGAACTCTTACAAGTACCTGGGTGTTCACCTCAACAATAAACTGGACTGGACTACAAATACAGATGTTCTGTATAAAAAGGGCCAGAGTCGACCCCATCTGCCGAGGAGACTGAGGTCCTTCAGAAACTGCAGGACTATGCTAAGGACATTCTGTGACACTGTGGTAGCATCCACCTTTTTCTATGCAGTGGCCTCCTGGGTGAGCGGATGGTGTTAGGTGTGATGGCTGACATAAAAACAGCTAGTGCTGTCATGGGAATGTGAAGGCTGAGGTGAATCAACCACAGCAACTATTAACCCTTTAAAGCCGGTCGGAGCGGGCACGCTCCGTTTTGCGTAACTATTTTTAAATCCTTGTAGAACCTGAACCGCGTAAGCTAGCGCAATAATTTTTTTTGCATATAAAACCAGAGGAGTTGTACTTACATCTTATGCCATCAGCTTGTCCTAGGTCACGGTTTCCTTCCACATATAGCTTTGCAAATATTGCATAAAAAGCGCTTGCGGGAACAAAAACATGATATTCCAGAAACACGCTTTGCCGATCCGATCAGCTGTTCGTAACACTTCCTACGTTGAAACAGACATCAAAATAAATTTTCTGTTGTTGTAAACTATTTTTTGCAACTTTTTTGTATTTACAGTTTTGAGGGATAAACCTCTTAAATTTCTCCAAGTAGAAATATGTGTAAAAAACGAAAAAACAAAAACGATTTTCAATTTTTTTGTAGTTCATTGCACTTTTTTGCAATTTATGTAGTTACTATGGACTTAATGCATACATATTATTAAAATATGGGCTATAACAGTTGTATTGATGTGTAGCAACTTGAAATGCTCGCAAAAATGGCACTACAGCATGTAAAAATATAATATAAGCTCTGGCAGCCTTGGTTCTATGGTAGGTCTTAAAGGGTTAATTTGAAGTAATTCAAAATCAGTGTGATGAAATCATCATAATATACTACATCATACCACTCATTTAATAAATCATAATATTATACATAAATAATTAGGACAAACAAGCAGGAAACATCATGTTTTCAGTTTTTATATTAGTTTACTTTTAGAAAAAGATTACTATAAACCAGCCCACAGACACTCATAGATACACTTTTACATTTTGCATTTAACTTGAGAATAAACACTTTCTTCAGTTTCCAGTTCATTCTTCTTCTTTCCTCTTGTAGATGTAGCTTTCCTTCCAGAGAAGTGTAGAGCAGCATAGTTTAGATCATGTCCACTTTCAGCCTATACAAAATAATAAAAAAAAATGTTTACCTCATAGAATCATTTTAATAAAGTAAAAACAAAAAGATTTGGTCATAGTACTTACACTGTTGTCCACTGTTTGGCATAAATCACTTTGCCTTGCTTGTGAAGAGCTTTTCTCTGTGTGTTACGGTGACAAAAATAGGAATATTATCTATTTTGTCTGATTTAGAATTTTAAATTAAAGCAGTATTTAGTTTTTCTCACATTAAAGGAAAACTTTAGTGCTCCTACAACAATACTTACTTTTAAATTGTTCGCATGATGCTCTTGGGCTTCGGCAACAGATCAAAATAATATTGACAATCACAGAAATGGCCAAGCAGGCTAATGCTATCACCAGTGCAGAAAATTCAGAACCTCTTCTTTGCTCTAGAAAACCAGAAACAATCATTAGAAACAATTAGTAATTCTGACAATAATAAGGAATCCTATATCTCATGGTTTATTTTTATAAATAAAATCATACCTATTTGCAATTTAGTTCCTTTTCCAAACAATATCTTCCCACATGTAGCCACAGCACAATAGTAAGTCCCTTCTTCTGAGGAGCTAATACTTTTATTGAACTGATAAACACAACTCTGCTGAGTCGCAGAGCTATTCCCACATTCATGATGTCTGTTTCCATCAGTGTAGATGATGCTAGGATGAGATGGATTTGATCCTTCTCTAAACCAGAACATACTGAGACCTCCGGAACATGTCTTGTTATCAAAATTAGAGAGGAGTGAACAATGAAGAGTGACTGAGCCTCCTGGAGTTGCTATCTTCTTTTGAACAACAGAATAGTTCGATGTTTTCTGGGTGTTTCCTGTGTAATATAAATATATTAATAAATGTGATTATAAAATAAACTAAAAGACAAATAGTTTGAGTTTTCAAAAACGACCAAATGTATCTTACATGTAAATGTAATGTTTTCAAAACATGCTCATTCATAAATTATTTTCTGTAGTATTCAATTTTAGCTGCTGAAGCAAACTTTTATAGAAGAATCACATTATTACCTTTTACTAACAAATATGTCGCAGTCCATTTGGTATCTTGGAGCCACGCTGTGAATCCGCAGTGATAGATTCCCTCGTCCTCTTGTCTTGTCCTCAAAATGGTCAGGTTGGTCAGATTCTTGCCATACTTAACATCCCATTTTGAGTTTTTGAACTCAGGTGCAAAGGCAGGTTCTGCAGAGTCCTTCACTGTCCAAATTCTTTGCAGAGAGTCTCCAGGACTCTGCTTGTACCAGTCGACTCTACGGCTGAACTCGGTCTTAGGCAGGTCACATAGTAAAGTTGCAGGTTCACCGAGTTGAACTGTAGTTACTGGAATAAGTGTGTCTAATTTAAAACAAAACAAAATCTAAACCATTAAGTCACAATAATACAGGAAACCACCATGCTAACAGCATACATGTATGGAAAAAACACCCAGAATATAAAAACACTTACATGCTTGATGAATAGCAAGCAGTGCGACCCATATCACAATCATCTTGGCAACATCGCTTTTTAGGGAGCTTGTAGCTATTTCAGTCAGTGTAGGAGGTATTTTAGTACAAACCTTTTATGTCACATGTGTCAGATGAATCTGATTGGTTATCACAGAATATAGATTCAAGGGCACTTCCTGTCACATTGCTCTCTTCCAGGCTTCTGGGGGGTAAATCATCTCTTCCTTGTTCATTTGCACATTATTTCATTGATGAAGTAAATTTCTTTCCCAAAAAATGTTAGGCGCTCATTTATAGTTATTTTAGTTTTCCTATCCAATATTCATGTTCTGCTTTAATCTGTCAGCAAATTTTCCAAATGATTTTACTAGTCTTTTGTTCCCGCTACTGTCAATTTTCATTTAAGTGTTTCTGAATTCATTTAATTGATTATTTCCACTTGCAAAGACAAAAAGAAAAAAAGGAAATACAAAAAAATCAAAGTTTGCTTTCACTTATAGATTATCGTAGCTTTCATTTCCTGCGTGGTTAACTTTATTCAGCAAAACTAGGTTAAGTCATGACGTCAGCTCAAGTTGACAATTGTACAATAATAAAAACATCTTAGAAAGTTTGTTTTCTAGGTTTATCTGGGTTTAGGTGCTCTGCCTTACCTAAAAGTGAACACACTTAGATAAATGTTGCATGCATTTATGTATACAGCCATTAGAAGTTCCTGAATTCTAAAACTTAACTTGATCTTAACTACAGCTTGTACAAATTACTTAGTGCCATTTTCTGATGACAGATCGTTTATTGAATCTCAGAGCTTCTTAGTGGGCTAAACATATTTCCATCAAGAGATATCCTGCTATTTGGTTTTCTTGCAATTCACTATGGAAGTGTGAAAACTGCAGTGGACAAAAAAAAGTAGCATATTTATGGTTTATGGTTTACAGATCACAAAAAGATAAAATACTTCACATATTCTAATCATTGATTCGAGACTAGGGA